GAATTAATAAAATAAAATTGAACCATATGTCAGTCCTGAAATGACCTAGTATGTCTAGATTGGACGTTAAACCCCATCTCTCTCTCTCCCCTCTCTCTCTCTCTCTCTCTCTCATTTGATTTGTATGTTTGTAATTAAGTCTGTTTGTGTGATCAATCACGCCATCAAACAGTGAAGTTTGTTGGGTACAACCATGGATTGATGGATTAACTATTCCTATTTGGCATGTTGAGCTTTTGATCTGTAAATTGACAGTACTTGCAATAGAGTGACGGATATGTGAAATGAAAAACATTAACAAAGATGATAATAATTTATCACCCAAATATTGAAATCTATACGGGTAATATCCTCTTTTCGTTTTTAATTGGTGAATGTTCGACCCAGACTTTGCCGGGATTTGACACAGGGTCTCAATTACCATAACATATATTTCCGCCAGCTTAAAAGCGACCAAAAAAAAGTTTTTCGTGGAATTGTCACCAGAAGCCCCTAAAATCACTCTGCCTAAGGCCGAAGCTGTCTTTGTGGCTGCCAAAGGTTTGCCGCTATTTCCTTCATTTTAAAAAAGCTAAACAAAAACAAACCATGCTGCTTATATGTACCCCATTGACGATCCAAGCAGGTGGCACATGGTTACTAACATGGTGGACAGGCCCGGCGGGGGGGGGGGGGCAATAAAATCCCGCAAGTACTCCTCTCTCTATGGTTATTGCATGCAAGTAACTATTCGGTTAGATAGAATGACGTAACTGGAAGAGGCCCCATTTTAACATAGAATTGAAACTTCTAGAACGTAGACTTCCAATAAATAAAAAACTATCTATATTCTATATAGCGAGGGTCACGATTAGTTAACTGAACAGTCAATCTTTATTTCAAGCCCGCCTCACTTCCGTTGTATCTCACTCTCTTTCCTTGTGTCCTTTATCCAAATAATTCACTGCTTATGGCCAGTTAAATCAAGCGGTTGTTATGCAAGATCCGCTCAAATTGTGGAAGAAATGGATGGGGTGGAGGTACAATCAACAAGGCTCATACTCTCATTAAAGATAATTTGTTAAGTTTCATCTGAATGGGCTGTAGTCCCTCTAGAGGGAAATTTAAACTCAAACGTAATTATGATGTAACGGTGGTATATTTGAACGGTTTTTACAATCAAATAAAACTTGTGACATCTAGACAGTCCACAGGCTCAAAATGTGATTTTTCGTACAAGCAAGGGCCATAATCCAACAATATCGACACGATTTGAGATCTTTGGGTTATAAAGATACATTGTACGTTTCATCAAAATCAGATAAAAATTGTGACCTCTAGTATTATGCATATGTTTAGTTCAACGTCACAGGAACCCCCCATCGACTGCGTTTTCGTGGTAAGGGATTTAAACAAAAACTAAAACTTCACTGCCGAGTAATTTTATTAGCCATAAATCGCTCAGAAAGCGTCTTCAACGATCTAGACTCCCAGGAACTTCAGTGGCCTAGACGCCCCCTGGACCCTCGCCTAAAGTCCTAGTACGGTAGCCCCCGCCCCCTCCACCAATCATGAATTGCTTCCGCCGACCTAATAGGGTATTTACTTTCAAAATTAATCTTAATCTACTGGTGAAATAGTTTACGGGTCCCAGAACAGGTCCTTATTGTTACTTAAATACCTAATTGACCTGGAAGCATGCCAATAAGAGAAGCGATAGACGTCTTTAAGCCCGGATGCGCCATTTGCACAAACTAGGCTCATCAGGTTTCTCCGCTACCAATAAAAGAGTTCAGCGTCTTGATACGCTCGAGCAGCATAGATCGATGAAAATACAGTTTATCGTAAATGTGTAAATACTGAACGGAATTGAACCATTTTCGGACTGATGTTCCAATTAGAGAATAGGCTTTCACACGTTGAAATCTACCTGTGGCAGGTAACAATAGAGACTTTTGGCAAGCGTAAATTTCTGGTCCGTATCGCGTATCCGTATGGATTTTGCTTGTGACGTCATCAATGTGTGTGTATTTTTCATACGTGACACGGCACACGGATACGGCAGCACGTATCGAACAGCTTTCATACGGAAAAGGTCCGTATAACATTGTCGTGTCCTTTTACCGTCATTTTTGCTACTTTTAGACGCCGAAATGTTGTATCGGAGCCTTTTTATGAATCTTTGTGTATTCTAGAACACGAAGGTGTATATTTGATGTGATTTTAACCATGACGGTTGAACTACGTGATAAATTTAGGTAGGCGGAACATTGCAAATCTGGTAAAGAGGTATAAACTTTCTGAAATTATACATTAGTGAAACCAAAAATTGCAGTCGAGTCGAAGTCGAAGATTTTAAATAAGATTCGACATTATTTTTTTTAATAGCTCGGCTCTAATAGGCACTTGACTAGTACTGATGGTGATCGTGGTAGATATCTGCCATCATGCTGTAATAGAACTAAGCTCAACTAATCGACGCACACGTACGCGACGCGAAAATCTGCCAAAACTCTAAAACTACATTGACGCAACGTATCACGTATACGATACGGATACGTGATACGGATGGGAAAATTCCGCTTGCCAAAAGTCTATATTGACATTATGAATCGTGTCACGCATACGGAAAGTATATGTTGACATAATTACTTGCATTATTTATAAAAATTATGAAGCTTTTCCGGCGATCTTTAAGTATCTCCAGAATTTGTTTATAGTTGACCTGTCCAAAATGTGTATTTTGAAGTTGTTTTAACAACTTTAAAAAGGGTATCACAATCAGACAATCGGATTTTACATACCGTTAGTACAATCTTATCAGCGAATCAAAGGACAAAATTGTAGCTATTTTGAATCCTTCAACACAGATTTATGTGCGTAACTTATCTTTTCAATAGTGTTCGCTTCTTAAGCTGATTGGATTACGAAATAACACGATGTCCTGTTCCTCGTCAGATTTCTTCAGCAAGCCTGGAAATTGTAAACTAAAGCCGTAAATGTTAAATGTTAGCGATCTGAATATATTTCGCAACAACTCTCTTCTCCATAGTGTAACCTTTTTTTTAAGTGATGAAATATATTCTCAGCTCAGTGGTCGTTAATTACATTCATTCCTCGGAGACAATACGATTGAATTATACAAGAATATGTAGCCTTTGTAAATGTCGCATATAATTGGTATGTGGACTGTAATTTGTTCTTCTACACGAATATCTGTAATTGTAACCGGTTGCCTATTTATGTTTAAATTTCCTTCTAAAGGCCATTTCGGCTTTAAAGATAATACTCCAAGCTTAATTATTCATTTGATCGACTCATTAAATTTATTCTTATTCTTGATATTTGTAATGGGAGCCAATCAAATGTCAACAATAATTTAAGCAAGTTAAATATTACAAAGCGTCAACTACTGAGTCTGGCGTGGGGAGCCATGGTGGCTAGATGGTTAAGACGCTGACGCTAGCCTGGAGGTTGGATGTTCGATCCCTGCATTGGCCGAGAAAGTTCATCGGGATTTTCCGACGTGGTTTCCCCTTGTCAGTGGTGCAAAACGGAGGGCCTGACAAGGAGAGCTGTCTAGTCCTTTGGATGGGACGAAAAAACGAGGACCCGTGTATATATTGGAATGCACGTAAAAGATCCCCTGGCAGTTGGAATTCGATATAAGAGTAGGCGATAGTGTCGCTGCCCGGGCAAAATTTACCTCATAGCACACTCTATGGCGTATGCCCGTCTTCATTAGCCCATAGGAGCAGAACAGTAGGAAGTTAAACCCCATTTCATTCGAGTCTGGCGTGGACGTCTTAGCGCGTGTATTACCCACACATTTCTCATAACACCTGTGCTTGCTCATTCATCATATTCCAAGTCAGCTAAATAAGTAAATTTGAGACGAGTTTTACAATCGATGGCTATTATTTCAATTCTCGACAGTTGAGGAAATATATATATAGGGTTTAAATCAATTGGGCACTAAGCACCATCTCCAATTATCAAATGCCACTCGATTCTGCAGTCATGTTTCAGAGAATGAAACACTGATTCGGATGGGGGCGTGATATCAAATCGTCGGATGCTAAACTATTTACCAAAATGCGCAGGCGGAAGTGATTAACTAAGAGCGTTAAACATTAGGAGACATTAAAGAAAATGACTCGAGAGAACAATCAAATTAACCGCTCAAATTTAAGTTTAAGAACTGTACATGTATACTTGAAATGAAATGATATGAAATATTGTCTAATGACACTAACAGTTTTTTCTTTAATGTCTCCTAATGTTTAACGCTCTTAGTTAATCACTTCCGTCTTCGCAATTTGGTATTACCTTTTGAGAGTTATCTGTAATATTAAAAGAGATAGAACCTTACAGTTTATTGCCAGTAGGTTAAAGATCCCATGAAATTTTTATGCAAGTTCCTGCGTGCAACTTTTCTTCTATGGCTGTTTGTCAGATAAGCATCCAGTACGACCAGTAGACCATTACTTAAATGATTATATTTTGCTGGCTCGGCTGAGGACGGAGGATTGCACAAACCAAATTGTATAATGTGAAATGAAATGGGGTTTAACGTCCTATACTGTTCTGCTCCGACTGGGCTAATGAAGACACGAAAATCGAAATAAGAGTAGACAGTAGCAGCAAGTCAGAACAAGATTTCACTATTTTGCCTATACCGTTTTTTTAGGACCCTTAATTGTGTCTAATGGTTTGGATTGTTCGTACTTGGTTTTGTTTTATTAAAACAACATGGCGTATACCCGTCTTATTTACCTGTTTGACACGGAAAAGTAAGACATTAAAAAACCCATCTCATTTTTACAGTGTTTCTTTTTTCAGAACACAATGAAGAATATCCCGAACACGATAGTCTTGAAATTTTCGCATAAATCACATTGTTTTTCATTAATGATATTTTTTTTAAAAAAATTGGTTTAAGTAAATATCAAAGATGAATAATGTTACAGTCTGACATTTATATTATTAATGAACAATCTCGACAACTTTATTAATCTCAACAATCAAACATTATTTGACATAATCAATATTCGGCATATATGACATGGGAAAATGCAATGTAAAAATTCTGAAATGATTTCGAAAAAGTGTAATTAAATACGTTTCGACGAATTCTTTACTTTGAGTTAGAAATAAATGAAATGAAATGGGTTCAGCGCCCTTCTATTCTGCTCCGACTGGGCTAATGATGACGGAGGTTAAATTAAATAAAAAGAAATTGATTGATAGAAATAGTATAAAGAATAAAAGAATTAATGAATGAAATGGGGTTTAACGTCCTTCTTTTCTACACCAACCACACTTTGAGAAATTTTGCTTGGGCAGCAATTGAATTGCAACTGTCGCAGGACCTCGGGCTTCGCCCCACACGAACGACTACGTTTACAGAACTAGAATACTAACAAAGGATACAGGACTAAGCCTTTGACTGGTCGTCTAGTTTATGCGTGTGTTTTGACATTACCTTGTGTTTATCACTAATGTCTCTGGAACCCTTTATTATTCAAAACTATTTTGTAAAGCAATACAAATACATAAAAGAACGAAAGATAATGGCTAACTTTTCCGTGATGACTTCATAACTACCATATGAAACGCTACACGAGTTCTCTAAGAACTCCGAATAACGTCTTTATATCTAAAGATATGCGCTATAGAGTATCTAACTTAAAAGTCTATCAGCATCATTATCACATAATTACAACTAATAATTGTTCCCCATCACCACCCACGCGGTCTTTGATTCCTTCATTTTGAAATGATGCCTGGAGAGATTTATGTCTATTAAAGTCGGGAACGCCCATAGATTTGAATGAATCATAGACAAACCTCCAAATGTTAGTATTTAGAACTATTACTTTTAGTCCTTGTTTATGTTATTGGCCAGTCGATATGATGTTAATTAACATGGAATATTCAATCGCAGACTTCATTTTGGTTCCCTCAATCGAGTGTATGAAAAAAAGGGGGACAAATCCCATCTAGATTGATACGCCGTCTGCGCTAGAACATTTCAACAAATCCACCCGTCATGTGATAAAGTATCTTTTATCCTGATAAAAAATAAAGTACACCTAAACCTACGTTTGAGAAGAAATATTATTACGTCTATTTATTAAACATTGACCTACTTTATTATTTATATCTCAATTACGGAACGAACTTGTCAAACGACATATTATACATTCAGAACATTGCTTAGCAGTGTTTATATTAAAGAGCAGACATTTCTAGCCACTGGTTCGGGCTCTCTTCTCCATAGGTTAGGTCCAAGTAGCCTATTAGAAGTCAGATATTCGGTGAAATTTTCCATAAGGCTGGTAGATGCGTGCGTCGCTTTATCGAGTGAGGTTCCTATTTAAAAATGAACAAAACTGAAACGAAATTAAATAAAACGAATTACGTATTAGTAATATATGAAAGGACCGACAACAGGTCCAGAGTCGTATTGTTTTATACTCATAAAAGAACCTTTGACAGGAAATAGTTAATTTGTTTTATAGTTGAAAATTTGTCTATCTATATAATATTGTGTCTTTATTACGGCAATTTTCGTGTGAAGAGAATGTACACAATTATCCCCCGCTACACTTTACGTAACCATGGTAAATCATAAGCATGTGTTAGTTTAAAACATCGAGAGAAAACCCTGCATAAATAATTAATTGAAAATTATTCTAAAAAATTTATTATTTGAATAAAACAGGAGCGTAAAAACTAATGTAATCTTTAAATGACCATACTTTGAGTTAGAATTGATAATTTGAATAATTGGGGGAAATTCTGCGTAAAATCTTCATTAACAACAATACCGGGTATTGGTTAGCTCAGAATTGAAACTAGGTTCTGAATAATTGGGGGAAATTCTGCGTAAAATCTTCATTAACAACAATACCGGGTATTGGTTAGCTCAGAATTGAAACTAGGTTCTAGATCGAGTCTCTTTAAGCTTAAAAAAAGAAGTAGACAATTACAGCATTCTCTTCACGTAAACTGACGTGATAAGAGGTACACATAGACACCTTTTCAACCCAAAACATTCAAATATTTACTGAGAACACATCAAGAAAGCTGAAGACGATACCCATGACGTGCTTATCATCTATCAATTCAAGCACTTACATCATGTATACGTTATTCAACCATAACCCGAACAGACCATACAAATTATAGTCCCTGATACAAAATAAAGGTATACAATTTCTTAGAAATAATATGAATGGAATCCTAACAGTGGGTCGTACTTTTATACAATGTTGGAGTTCAGTGACTATATAGAAATGCATAATTACATTTTACTTATCAATGTTGAACTTTAATCCACATGAATAGAAAATTTACATATTTTTATTTTTTTTTATTTTTTTTTTTTTTTTTTTTTTTTGGCGGATATACATTCTTAGAATTTGACACTTATACACCATAAAAAATCAAAAGAAATAATGTTGGAGTTCAGACACTATATAAAAATGAACAATTACGTTTTACTTATCAATGTATAACTTTAATCCACATGAATAGAAAGCTATCAAAGAAAATCGTTTCATGGGTGCATATGAATAACGGAATTATATCTTTGTAAAACATTTAATCCACATGAATAGAAAATTTACATATTTTTATTTTTTTTTATTTTTTTATTTTTCTTTTTTTTTGGCGGATATACATTCTTAGAATTTGACACTTATACACCATAAAAAATCAAAAGAAACAATGTTGGAGTTCAGACACTATATAAAAATGAACAATTACGTTTTACTTATCAATGTATAACTTTAATCCACATGAATAGAAAGCTATCAAAGAAAATCGTTTCATGGGTGCATATGAATAACGGAATTATATCTTTGTAAAACATTTATATAATACACTATTTGACAATTAAATATTAATACATTATTATAAATCAGTAATTAATTCATATCTCGAAGCCGCCAAATCGAACCCATAAATGCAATGACTATTTTTCACAAAAGACGATATAGTAATTTTGAAAGATTTAACATCTAAACGTGCATAAAAGACACACCCATGTCTATATAAATTATTATTATTATTACAAACTTCTATTATATTATAGACATATTGCAGCTATTTATAAAATGGGATATGAAAGTGCACACTTGATAAATACAAATGTTATTCAGATAAAATTGAATATAATTTAAATTGCTGTGGATAGTCTACCTATTAAAAGGATCACTGGGTAAATTTCCATTTAAATAAATGTATTTAGTTTGGTTTGAAAATAAAAAAATATAATTGGTAATTTGTTCTATAACAACGGTGCTTGTGAGTTCATGGTATCTAAGCATTCAGAGTATAAGACAGGGTGACACGCGCAGAGCATTTTGTTCCAGAAATTTATTGTACCATTCGAGTTTTGGACCCTTTCACGCTTATGAGTCTAACAGTGAGTCATCCACCTATAAGTGGAATAACAAACCTTATTTACAATTGTGCCAAGGGCGAAATGTAGAAGCTGAAAAGAATTGGACCTAATACCGGCCCCTATGGAACTCCGTTGTTTAGTTTTGCACTTTTAAATTTTTCATTAACAATAATAATATAATTATTGTTTTTAATTTTTAAGATCTGATCTGATCAGTTCAAGAGCTGAGTCAACAATACCAAAATTTGAATTCAATATGTTGTGTCAAACGCAGCAGATATATCTGGAAGAACCAGAAGAACATACTCATTTTTATCCCAAAAGAGTAAAATGTCATTTCATTTATACTCTGTGTACTTTATACGCTATATGTGAACTCCCCAACTGGGAAGTGGAGATTATTCGGGGTGCGCCTGAATAGCACATCTGTATTTAAATTGGTTCTTCCTCATTTATAAACCGTAATGCTGCCAACTTTGTTTTTATAATAGACATGGTTAATTAAGTCTTTTAACTTAGTTTTTAATTCAACATTTCAAAATAGCAAGGCGTAATAGACAAGGGACATTAAACATTAGTTTCTGGCGCATTGGTACTAATATGACTGTTATGGCCATTATTTGGCACAGATAATTATAAAAATAAGCACTAAACTTTATAATTAATTCCCACTTCAAAACGTTTCTAATTAACTGTTGATGAAGTAAGATATTTACATCCTATATTCCGCTAAATATACTCCGCAAGGGCATCTGTCGTTTAACTAAATGAGAGAAATTTTAGATGAAAGGTAATTTGCGAAATGTAATTAACATGTAGTTATAAATATTGTGTATAAGATACATGTATAACTGCTTGAAATGATAATGGCTTTCATCCGAAGCAATAACCTAAGAGGTCGCGAGGGCTCGGTGGCCAAGGCGTTAACTCGCTAACCTAGATATCTCCGGTTCGAACCGGGCTGTCTGTGTTAGTCGTCTAGTCATTCTGTACACGTAAAATGAATTACTTTAGTAACGGATTCTTATCGGCTCTGGCCTCTATCCGTTACTGGCTGATCCTATACACAACTAATATTATGAAAACAAGGCTTTTCCCCCATCTCGGTAATAAGGCTATTTTAGAATCCTTGCCGTCTATTTTTTTTTACCGTGATTCTTCTTTGCTCGCCAAAAGGAATCGGTTCTTGCCAGCCAGTAACGGATAGAGGCCAAAGCCAATAAGAATCCGTTACCAAAGTAACTAACGTAAAATAATCTTTGACAGTCGGAATTAAAAAAATAATTGTAAGCCTTAGCTAAGTTGTCAGAGTGAATTTGCTCTCTTGAAAAACTAAATGGCGTATGTCCGAATTCATCAGCCCGCATGGAGGATTGAGCAAACCGACTTGTATAATGTGAAATGAAATGGGGTTTAACGTCCTAGTGCTCTGCTCCGATTGTATAATGTAATCAGAATTGTTGGATCTAGGCACTCCTTTATCAACTGTTATAGTTACTCTGGGAATATGTTTTTCTTCCACTGATAAAGACTCCAAATCTCAAGTGAATTATTAAAATAAAATAGTACATTTTATTTGTACCGGGATGACCTAGTTTGTGTCGAGGGAACGTCAACCCCATTTTTCTCTAGAACTTTGTCCTCCAAACTTTGCAATCAATAATCCGTGTCATAATCCACGTGCACTGCAACGCATTTGATACCAAGACTTTAATTATGGAATAATCTATGTGTAAGTTATTTGACTGAACTCATATCAGATATGGTATTTTAAAAGTTGTCAGTCAGACCTGTTATTATGCTATTAATAGTCGTGGTCATATAATATCAAAGAATAACAGTGCTAAAATGAGTATAATTACTTCTAATGGTGGCAATATGATATTTCCGTCGTTATTTTTAGACTATAATTATTGTTGTCTGTAAAGGACTTATATAACAGATTGTTGATTTAAACAATACCGTATTACTTAAACATACATTATGCAAGAGCTAAATCTGATTATTGCAAGTCTTTATTTAGGCTTCAGATGTCATAGAAATTATAAATTAGATCTTTATTTACACAACAAGCACAAAATCAACTCTGTAGACCCACGGATGGCTTGGATTTAAACATGATTTCGTTGATTGATTAAATTTTTAAATGGCGTCGTAAGCGGAGATTAACTGTTACGTTGACGTCATACTCCCGGAAACAATTTTAGATCGAGGCTAAATGATAGATTGTACGAAGCGAGGCCGCTGTTGAGCGAGGTCGCATGCCAGTCAAGTTCGATATATACGGCCTTGATATTATGTTTAGTTGTGGTTAAAATGAGAGTTTGGATGTCGGTATTATAGGCCTACGCTCTTTTGTCACTTGCGTTTACAGAAAAAAATATAGAAATCTATAAAAATCGCAGCTAACATCACCCCAGTTGAATTGCAGCTCCATTGGATCAATGTTCGGGAGTTACGCAGGCCTACCAGTTACAGTACAAGAGTACACGCAGGCTAACAAGAAGTCGGCTATAATTATGCCTCATTGATTTGGTCCATTCCTTTCAAACTTTCGCTTCTTATCTATATATTAAAAGTTTTATTTTTAATTTGTAGTAAAAATAAATGTGATACGAATTGAATTGCAAACCCGTCTCAAACCACAGCCATTGAAAACGTTACTTGATAATCGAGATTATGTGGGTGGAGTTAACGCCTGTCAATCAAACGATCGTCCATTCTCGGAGACGGTGAACAGAGAGTTGACTCCTATTTCTAGTCAAAAATTACAATAGTGATAACTTTGTTCAGAATAAAGTAATTTGACTGAAATTTTCAATATATTCTTCTTTCATCATCTATTTTTGAACTGTTATAGCAATAATGGCCAACTCTCTATACAAATCTCCCATAATGTATCTTTAATCAATTTATATACTATATAAGACTAACGGTAAAGCAGTGCCTTAAGGAACCCCGTGCAGATAAAAAAAATAAGGT